GGAAACCTAGGAACTTTGTTCCAATCACTCGGTCAATATGACAAGGCCCGAGAATATCAGGAGAAAGCACTCGCTATCAAAATAGAAATTGGTGACAGGGATGGAGAAGCAACAAGCTACGGAAACCTAGGAACTTTGTTCCAATCACTCGGTCAATATGACAAGGCCCGAGAATATCAGGAGAAAGCACTCGCTATCAAAAAAGAAATTGGTAACAGGGATGGAGAAGCAACAAGCTACGGAAACCTAGGAACTTTGTTCCAATCACTCGGTCAATATGACAAGGCCCGAGAATATCAGGAGAAAGCACTCGCTATCAGAATAGAAATTGGTGACAGGAATGGAGAAGCAACAAGCTACGGAAACCTAGGAACTTTGTTCCAATCACTCGGTCAATATGACAAGGCCCGAGAATATCAGGAGAAAGCACTCGCTATCAAAATAGAAATTGGTGACAGGGATGGAGAAGCAACAAGCTACGGAAACCTAGGAACTTTGTTCCAATCACTCGGTCAATATGACAAGGCCCGAGAATATCAGGAGAAAGCACTCGCTATCAAAATAGAAATTGGTGACAGGGATGGAGAAGCAACAAGCTACGGAAACCTAGGAACTTTGTTCCAATCACTCGGTCAATATGACAAGGCCCGAGAATATCAGGAGAAAGCACTCGCTATCAAAATAGAAATTGGTGACAGGGATGGAGAAGCAACAAGCTACGGAAACCTAGGAACTTTGTTCCAATCACTCGGTCAATATGACAAGGCCCGAGAATATCAGGAGAAAGCACTCGCTATCAAAATAGAAATTGGTGACAGGAATGGAGAAGCAACAAGCTACGGAAACCTAGGAACTTTGTTCCAATCACTCGGTCAATATGACAAGGCCCGAGAATATCAGGAGAAAGCACTCGCTATCAAAATAGAAATTGGTGACAGGGATGGAGAAGCAACAAGCTACGGAAACCTAGGAACTTTGTTCCAATCACTCGGTCAATATGACAAGGCCCGAGAATATCAGGAGAAAGCACTCGCTATCAAAATAGAAATTGGTGACAGGGATGGAGAAGCAACAAGCTACGGAAACCTAGGAACTTTGTTCCAATCACTCGGTCAATATGACAAGGCCCGAGAATATCAGGAGAAAGCACTCGCTATCAAAATAGAAATTGGTGACAGGGATGGAGAAGCATCAAGCTACGGAAACCTAGGAACTTTGTTCCAATCACTCGGTCAATATGACAAGGCCCGAGAATATCAGGAGAAAGCACTCGCTATCAGAATAGAAATTGGTGACAAGGATGGAGAAGCATCAAGCTACGGAAACCTAGGAACTTTGTTCCAATCACTCGGTCAATATGACAAGGCCCGAGAATATCAGGAGAAAGCACTCGCTATCAAAATAGAAATTGGTGACAGGGATGGAGAAGCAACAAGCTACGGAAACCTAGGAACTTTGTTCCAATCACTCGGTCAATATGACAAGGCCCGAGAATATCAGGAGAAAGCACTCGCTATCAAAATAGAAATTGGTGACAGGGATGGAGAAGCATCAAGCTACGGAAACCTAGGAACTTTGTTCCAATCACTCGGTCAATATGACAAGGCCCGAGAATATCAGGAGAAAGCACTCGCTATCAGAATAGAAATTGGTGACAGGAATGGAGAAGCAACAAGCTACGGAAACCTAGGAACTTTGTTCCAATCACTCGGTCAATATGACAAGGCCCAAGAATATCAGGAGAAAGCACTCTCTATCAAAAAAAGAATTGGTGACAGGAATGGTGAAGCAACAAGCTACAGAAACCTCACATGTTTGTTTCTCTCACGAGGCATGTATGCAAAGGCTGACGACTATCTAAAGAAGGCAATGGCCGTTAGAAAGGGTGTCGATGACAGAAGGGGAGAAGCAGCAGACTACACGAACCTAGGTATGATTTGTTGTTCGCGTGGTGAATACGACAAGGCTCAAGAATATTGCGAGAAAGCCCTTACAAGTTCCATGGACATCGGTGATAGAGAAAACGTAGTAGTCTGCTACAACAATTTAGGACTTTGTTACCAATCTCTTGGTAAAAATGACATAGCTGAAGGATACCTTAAGCAAGCTCTTCTACTTAGTAGGGATATTGGACACAACTTGAACGAGTTTCGCTGCCTTTGTAATCTATCGGCGTTAATGGCGTCGCAAGGTCATCTTGAAGAGTCTTCTTCGTATCTTTTTCAAGGCATCCAAAAGTTCGAAACTTTGAGAGGTTTTCTTAAAGAAAACGACGAGTTTCAAATATCCCTTTTAGAAAAGTACGGCACCTTTCCCTACAAGTGGTTCAGCAGGTTGCTTTCTTCCACTGGAAAGCCTGAAGACGCCCTTTACGTCGAAGAGCTGAGAAGGGCAAGATGCCTGGTCGACTTGATGACAGCTCAGTACTCTGTTCAAGAGCAGATCTCAAGCGATCCACAATCTTGGTGTGGCATTCAAGGGATCATCAGAAAAGAAGCAGACTGTGCATGCCTGTACATTTCGGTTGGTGAAATTTACGTACGGTTTTGGATAATAAAAGCAACGGGAGCTATTCTTTTTTCAGAAAAGAAAGTGAACCTGGACCCAAACAAGGTGACCGGAATAGTCCCTGAGTTAGATGAGTTTTTTAAAGAACTGATGTCACTTCAGCGCAACAACCGATCAGGGCTGCATTACTGTGATACCGAAGATTTCAAAACAAGTCTTCACTTGTGTTACAAGATAATCGTTGCTCCTGTGGCCAGTTTACTGAAGCAGCCCGAGATCATAATTGTCCCTGATTCCTGTGTGTACCAAGTGCCATTTGCAGCCTTAGCTGACGAAGGAGGAAAGTATTTATCAGAGAGATGCAGGATTCGGCTGGTTCCCTCTCTCACGACTCTAAAGCTTGTGCAAGACAGTCCTCCAGACCATCACAGTCAGACCGGGGCTCTGATAGTGGGTGACCCTGTGGTTGGAAAGGTGATTTACAAGGGACGGTGCAGAAATATGACACCATTGCCGTGTGCAAGAAAGGAAGCAGAGATGATTGGAACACTTCTTGGCGTAACGCCTTTGACAGGAGAGTCCGCTACAAAGCATTCTGTACTCCAAGCGATAAATTCAGTGAGCCTCATACACATTGCTGCGCATGGAGATTCTGAAAGAGGGGAGATTTTTCTTTCTCCTAAGCACCTTACCCTACACCCACCTTTTCCTCGAGAAGAAGATTATCTTTTGACGATGGCAGATATTTCAAAAACTCGGTTGCGAGCTAAACTAGTGGTGCTTAGTTGTTGTCACAGTGCTCGTGGACAGATTAGAACCGAGGGAGTTATTGGAATTGCCCGAGCATTCTTAGGATCCGGAGCTCGTTCAGTGTTAGCGGCACGATGGGCCTTGGATGACACAGCTACAGAGCAGTTCATGACTTGTTTCTACAAACATTTGTACCGCGGTGAAAGCGCAAGTGAATCTCTCCACAAGGCCAGGAAGTGGATGAGAAATAACGACTTTGATAAAGTTTCTCAATGGGCGCCATTTATGATCATGGGCGACAACGTGACATTTGATTTTGGAAGTTGGCCGGTGCCTAGCGCACCTTAAGAGCCACAACTTTGATAAAAACTTCTGTAGCAGAATGAACTGAACTTAGTTAAGCTCAGAACTATTTAACTACTAGCCTGTAGAAAAAGGACACCATACGTGAAGGAAAACTCGGATCGATACACAGAGGAGAGCATTTCCATAAAATGCTTATCAGACATCTAAGTTTTTTAATCTGAAACAAGACAGCGTATAGTGTTATCTCTTTATAGGAGTTCCGAAGTTAAAAACTCCAATTTATTTTTTAAGTTTTTAGTTCAGTAAACAACCCAAGCAAGTGTGACAATTTTTAGGTTTCGAACAAAGATTAGTTCTTCGAGGAAAGAAAATTTTTAATCCTTTTTCAAAGGCGATTAGTCAGTCAATTCAAGAGACTTTTAAACAAATGTGTAACTTGGAAAAGAAGTTTTTTCTGAGCTTAAATTTTTGGAAATTTCTTGCAAGGCTTTTGAAAAAAAATATTGTGGTTTAACATGCCAAAATAAACACAATAAAAAAAAGGGGATACTTTATACTAATCGTACAGTAATACAAACCCTTGTATTCTCATAGAAACCCCAGTAGTTTTATCAATTTAACCCTTTAACCCCTGGGAGTGACTAGCATCTAATTTCTCCTCACAGTATCACTACTGAATCAAACATCGAGGTCATAAGAATAATGAAAATGATCAACAAGCACAAGAGCTCTTGATTATTAAGCAAAATCTCCTTGTCAGCACCTGAAGGAAATGTATAGAAAACAGTATGGAGAATATACGTACTGATCTTAGGGTGTAAAGGGTCAATCGATGCCCCTATGTGTAGATACTGTTGTATCCTCACACAGACTCTTGTATGCTTATAGATACTTTTGTATCCTCGTTATCCTTCACTTTCCCTCTGCTGCTACTATTTCGCTCCGTTTAATCAACTGAACGTCACGAAAAGGTTACATTATTATCAAAGGGCAATTTAGGTAGGGGATTCCATTTTGTTGACTAAAAAAACTCAACAGATTTTTCGTCTGCTACTATTGTGCCATATCTGTGAATTACAAGACAATAAATGTTCAATGAAAACCGAAAGAATACCAAATAAATTTGTATACTACAAAAGTTTGCATGCGAGAAAAATAGTTCCTAAGACCGTTGAAATGTATTGAAATACACAAATATATACATATATATACAGTTTAGCAAGATAACTTTTCTAGTATTTCAGAACACCGAAGCAAATATATTACCGAGCGAACTTTTGATAAAAATGCAAAAAATTATTAACGAGAAGATGTGACCTTCAAGTAACACCACTGAATAATTCTGAAGATTAATAACACAATTATTCATCAGATGTAGGGGATCGCTGAAATGGTTCAAACTGGCTTATAAAATGTGACTTATTGAATACCTTCGATCCAATAGGTGTGGATTGTTTAAACGAGTTGCAATTGTCATCAGAATTTGTCCCACTTTCAGCTCAAAACAGTGTTGCAATGCAGTGTGAACGCGGCAACATGAAAACCTGACTCATTTTCTGTCAACAAACTGCACTCTAACAGGTCTGTCAGGAATGGTGACCCCTCTCATGAACGGCTCCACCTTCTCTGCCTCCGGTGGGTAAGAGATGTCAAACTGCTGTACGATTCTGGCCATCAGCAGATGAAGCTCTAACTCGGCAATACGTCGACCGAGGCACATACGTGTTCCGAATCCAAACGGAAGAGAAGCGAAAGCTTCTGCTGATTCGATCAAAGCGGTATCTTTGTTTCGCAACCATCTCTCCGGTTTAAACGCTTCGGCATCTTCAAAAATACCCTCATCTCACCCCATTTGGTGAACAAGGAACTCAACTTGAGCAGTGCCCCCAGGGATATGGTAGTACAATAATATTATGTCTTCTTTCGGTCTTCGCGGGATAGCGGAGAGAACAGGGTATAGGCGGAGGGTCTCTCGTAACCAGGCCTTCAAATATGGTATACGAGCCAGCGTTTCCGGCGTTGCAAAGGTAGAATTTCCCACCACTACTGAGAGCACTTCTCGTCGAAGAATCTTCGTTTCTCAGGATTTTTGGCCAACATGTAAAGAACCCATTGCATCGTTTTGGACGTAGTGTCAATTCCGGCAAACAGAACATCGATTACACTCGCCAACAGGTCATCCTTCGTCAGCTTTCCGCTGGCCAGGAGGAACTTGAAGAAGCCAGCTTGGTCACGCTCTGTTTCCTTTGATGGCTTGCATGACTTCTCCTCCAGTTCGTTGATTCTTCTCCCGATAAATAGTTCGGCGTAGTCGTACATCGTGTCAAAATTATCAAAAAACTTTTTAAATTTCTGGGTCTCATAGATCTTGTAAAACCAAGGTGGCAAAAAACCGACCTCCACCGCATTCGCCAGAAAATCTCCGACGGCATAACTCTTATTGCGCAAGATGATCATCTCACAGCTGGAGCTTGGGCCACCTGTGTTCCAACCTGTGTTGAGCGGCACCGTAAAAAAAACTTAAGCGGTCGCCCTTAGTTAAGCGGCCAGCTGTCAGAGTCCCGAGAATTTTTCTCCTCAATTACGACAATTATGAACTCTATTAAGCGGTCGTGGTCACCCTTTGCTAAGTCCCAACAGCCTGTTTGCATTGTCCTCCACCTGTTTTTAATGGTCACTTAGAGCGGACCCACTCAAATAAAGCTAAGGACGAGCTTTCAAGTAAACTTTAACCCATGTTTATCTTCCAACCTCAAATGCAAACGGTACGTATTTTTGAGCGAGTATTTTTACATTAAGTGTTCGACTTTGGCGCAAGATGCCGTTTCATGTCGTTTTTTTGCGATACCCCCTTACTGTGAAACCTTTATTAAGCGGTCAACTTGTATTAAGCCATCTTAACCCAGTGGGTGACCGCTGAACACAGGTTCGACTGTAGATAATTTTTTTTTCTCATGCATCTTCTAGCATTGGAAGTTATTTTTCTTTCCATCCGATATCTTATCGGACCCCAATCTAAAAACAAATTATTTCTGTCATTTAGCTTGCGAAGCTTGAGAGAAGAATCATTGCTTGTTATTTGTCTTTTTCTCTGAAGAGTGTTAGAATTATCTTACACCCAATGAGCAGAATAAGAAAAAGCTTTTACATTTCATTCACATCCGACTTCATGCATCAGAAGAGGAGATATTGACTTCTACAGTGTAAATAAAATTAATGTCGGTCAAATCTCTTTACCTTCTTTCGGACGTGAATTGGCAGACCTATGGAACACTTAATGTTCTTGTCAACGGCTTTTGAAAACTGCGCTTAAATTGTCATCAGACTGATGATAGTAATGGAAGATTCCTACTTTTGGCTTATTTAAAACACATCTTACTACTTCCAGGCTTCTCCGCTCTAAAAACACATCTTACTATTTCCAGGCTTCTCCGCTCTAAATCATCTGAACGAACAATTGTTGAGAAATAACTTGATTATCCTTAATTCGCGCGGTGGAAGAAGACGTCGAAAGCTAACTTTCCTAATAACTACTAAGTACCTATAAAAAAAGGCTAGGATACAGTTATTGGGTGAATAAAGCCCCACCCCCCTCAAAATTTTCCTTTAGTTTCAAAGATGCATCACTTTCTCTCGAGTACTAAGGAACGAGGTAAAGTATTTTTCGTCCAGTCAACGTTACAGAAGACCATCTTAAATATCATGAAGAGTTACGAAGCGCTCTTCATCATTTATGAAGATAAACGATTGACGTAATAAAGCTCGTTAAGAAGTGCAATTTTTCCCTTGATCCTACATATTCAACATATTCTGATTGTTTGATTGTCCCTGAATAAAAGTGTCACAGTAAGTAGTTTGACCGTATTTAGGAGTGTTCCAAAAGAACGCTCCAAAAACTTTTAGGCTCTTTGAGAGTTCTTTCTTCTGAATCATTTAAAAATGATATAGAAAACAAAGACATATTTAGTACTTTTCAATCTCTTCTGCTTAAATTTCTTTTTTTCGACGAAAAAAATCCTTTTTCTTTGTATTAAACCGTTCTAGCAGAAGGCCAGTGCCAAGAACAATTAATAAGATTGACAATTTGAATTCACCCAGCTTTAAGCCGGGATTTTCAAACGCGAAGTAGCAATAAGGCATTCGTAAATAAGTCATCCTTCAACTCAACTTCAAGACCCCGTCAGAGATTTTTTACTCGGGCTTTCCGAAGGAAACGCCCGAGGTATAAATTCGGCTTCTTTTTTTTTTTTTTTTTTTTTTTTTTTTTGCGTTCAGTCACAAAACGCAGTTCCACTACAGCGCATGCGTGAAGTGTTAGCGCATGCCTAGAATGAACCTTAGAGAGCTATCTGGTGAGCATGGTTTAAAGCAATGGCTGCCTTTGTGGACAATTCCTTGCTTGATGCACGCGAAAGAAATTCGATGGCTATTACGCCCAATATACATACAAAGTCACACACCGTTCGCAGTAGACCCACACTAAAACTTGTGGAGCGTTTTTGGAACGGGTCGGTCCTCGAACTTTACGAGAGATCAATTTACGAGCGATCCTTTACGAGTGAACCTTTTATTGAGAAATATCAAGCGAAACCTGCTATATCAAACGAGTTATCTCATATTATGTTTACATGTAAACAGAACCGTGTATTTAGACGTGATCGAGAACCCAGTAGAATACCAGAAGCTATTCTGAAACGTCTCAGAAGAAAGGGCAGAAAACTGAAGGAATTTGTTTATGAGTGTATTCGTCCAAGCATACCGAAGTCCTCTTGGCTACGTCGTTATGTGAAGGTTAGAAGAGTTACAAAGAATGATTGTAAGCTTAATACGAAGAGGGTAAGATTAAATAAAGTTACAAAACATGATAAGAAGTATTTGTTGAATTGTTCTGTAAGGGTATATCAAAGGATAATTAAATTGAAGTATAGAGCAAGTAGGTACTTATCAACGTTTTCTTGTAATAGACCCATGTGTCTTTATAAGAGTCAGACACACGCATCAAACTATTCTAAATTTCAACTGAGTTCAGATATAGAGAAAAACCCTGGTCCTACTCCAATGTACATTGTCCCTAGCAAAACAATAATGGCACCATATAGCCATGCTAATGAATTGGTATTTGGACAGAATTCAGGACATCAATGTGTTACAATGAGTTTATGCTCTTTGATTTACAATAACAAACAAGGAATCAATTCTGCTAATGATCTTGTGTCAATAATGAATACTGGAAATCAGTTGTATTCAAGTTTGTCTCAGTTAACCAGGCAATCATTTTTAATGCAGACAGAATTACCCACACTTTTAAATGTGTTCGAGACTGACTATGAACTTCAATACAGTGAGAGCTACACTGGTACTATTCATCAAGAAGCTACAATAGAAGGATATCAGTTCTGTACCTCCTTAGATAGAGCCTTTCAATCACTTATATCCGAAAATTTCAACAATTTTGTCTTGACAATAGGATGTACTGCAGTTGCTATCTATTGTAAAGGTAATGTGGGCTTGAATATATTCGATTCTCGTGCAAGGGATATTTATGGTAGAAGCCATCCTCAAGGTACATGTGTGCTGCTTGAAGTATCATCACTGAATAGCTTAGTACATTATTTTCAGAGTATACATGACAATGATATATTTGAATTGAAAGGGGTTAACAGTAATAAAGTTCAAAATAGTACCCTTTTTCAGAGTCATGCCTGTGAAACCAGAAAGTTCAATGTGAGTTGTGCTGTGGCTGGTTATTCACTCTGCTACTCTGTAATAAAATCATTTAGTTATTGGAATTCAAACCTTATATGATGTTATTCAGTATGGCAAAAGATTATATGAAAATTCATCTTTGAACAAGTATTTACCGTTAGATGATTTGCCAAAAACTGTTGATGTTTGTGGAACTGAAGTAAGTTTAGATCTTAAAAGTGATTACAGTGAAGGAATATTGTCTGATTCAGTTGACAGCAAATCACTTCTTGAAAATCTTGTAAGAAATAATAGCGAATGCACAGGGTTTTTGATGTGGTTTTCAGTTTTCTGTATGACATGTATTTTTAAACCCACAAAAAGGTCAAAATATATCTATTCCCTCTTGCTATTTAATGAGAGTCAACTGCCTCTAGATGAATATACTAAAACTAAATAGCACTGTTTCTCTTGTTGCAACCATCAACAGCATTCAAAAATTGCATAACGCTGGAGGATATTACAAAATTCAGTTTATAAGATGTTCAGCTAAAGCTGTAAGACAAAATTAACTAAATTTTTGAAAATCGCCACAAAAATTGCTAATTTAAACACACCCTAAGTAAGCCCGAGTTCACGCAGTTATGCATCTAGTTAAAATTGACATTTGTTGTTTAGCAATGAAATTAATGAAAATGTCCAGCGTTCTCACCATGCCGAAAAAACCTAATGGCTAATTTACATTCTGCTAAATTAATAGAGGGAATACATTTTTCCGTTTTTTTTTTTTTTTAATATTAACTGACAACAGGTGGAACACTCTTCAAACGTCACTTCGTGTAAATTTATATGAACTGCTGAAATTACAAATGTTTTGGTTAAGCATTTGGGAATTGTTTCGGCCTGTTAGATAATCTCGAGTCTTGCTAGCCTTGTTTGATAATGTGATGCAGGACCACACAATATATGTAGTTTTGCTTTCCGAGTGATTTTACCTGGACCATCATGATGGGGCTTTGTTCTCGGACAATAATCGCCACTGGAGGTCCGCAAGCAGACAATCCCAAACACAGTGTGTTTAGGATTATCTATTCACCTTGCTTAGAGTCCTCCACTGGAGATCTTGTTTAGGTTTTTAGTTATTGAAGTCAATTGTTTCTCGAGTATTTTGTTGTTCTCTGATTTCGAAAGTCTGTTGAAATCGTTCGGGTTGGTGTTCTAAAAATACGTTTAATCTGGCAAGGTCACTTGTCTGGTAAGCCCACACATGCCTACCAATAGGATTTTAAAGAGTGTACTAAGGCCTGGGCTGAAAGAGTCATTAAGAAAAGAGTGACAGTCGCCCGTTAAAAAAATCAGTTCTTGATCAGACTCTTGGTGCCTCCCGTCTGTTTGTGGTGTTCGAGTTAGTTCACCCCAACAGTCCAACACAATTTTTATTTGTAATTGATCCTGGACAGGCCAATTTTTTTCTCCAAAAATTATTGCCATTGATGTTGTTGGTGATTGTTGATAGCAAGTGTTGTAAATTGGTAATAGCAAAAAGTTTGTGGCTTGTGTCCCACATATTTAGTTTGTTTTGTAAATTGGTGATTGCCTAAGACTCTTCTATCATTCAGTTGGCTTATGTTGTATGACTGACTTCTTGTGTATCTTCATTTTCCTGTTTTTGGTCTTTGCAAATCCCACACTCCCACATTCTAACACTGAGACACAGAGACTCTCCAGTGACCAAGGCCATAATTGCTACCTTCATGTGTAAGCATGTTGCCTACATTTTCTTACTGGATACAAAGTCATCTTTGAGTCCGTAAACTACAACAAACTTTGGTCTTAATGAAGTTATTTACATTTAGAATGCTAGTTCTCAGATGATACAAGTTATATTTAAAATGTATCACTGCTTTTCAAGTTTAAGTTAATTTTCTAAAAATGACACATAATCTGTCAATAGTGCAAGTTCCTGTTCACTTGTGAGTGGAATCTCTTTCTGTGGAAGCTCTACAAAGAAAATAAGAAAAAGGAGTCAAAGAATGAAAAATGCTTTTAATTCTCCTATTCGATTTTTTGCCTGAAAAGGTGCACTGACATATCACAATTGATTGTAGTTTTGAAATTTGACAAGTGTTTTTGAACCTCTCACAGGATTCAAAGATTCATTGAGTGCTCCAAACTCAAGGTTTTTCAAAGTGACTATCAAGCAACCATGAATCTGAACATGATTGCCATGATTGTTGAAGATTCATGCAACAACTTAAATTTAGAACTTACACACTGAGGAGAAAGAGGCAAAGACAGAAGGCTAATTAGTTAAATGTACAAACTTGACTGCAGAACACAGGTCACCTAATTGGTGACTTTCACTGATGATCTTGTCCCCCAAACTATTTTTTTTAATATGCCATGGCAACCAAAATGGTCGCAGCTCAGAGGAATGTCATTTCACAACTGAATTAAACATTGCTCTGTCATAAGAGTGTAGAGAATAACAAAAAAAAGGTCAGGGAATTATAAAATTTACAAATATGTTTAAGTCTGAGTTTGTATCTCTACCTGTCTTCTTGGGAGTAATCATTCCTGTGGCTGGATCACTAATCCATCCACTGGTAACAGCTGCTAAATTGTCATCAGACAAAAAAAAGAATAATATGAATCAACTGTTATAATCATTGTTATTATAACTATTATTATCAAAACCGTTGTTCGACAATGACCAATTATCGATAAATTCCCTTCATATGGATTTCTGTATTGATCAATTAATCATTTGCTTTCAACAAAGAACATATACTATTCAAGGTTTCTGCTTTCTGCAGGCATTGATCTGAAGCTAGAAAGCTTCAGCTTTTCTACACCATCTTGGACTGACTGACACACATGGCCTTGATCTCATGTGGGTATCTAGACTTTCTACAGTTTGGATCACATGGGAAGATAAAGTGCATGTAGTTGAATCGGAAGCAGTTGATCAAACAAAATGAGTTACTCCAAATCAGAGCTGTGAGCCACTATATGATGTTCAGAAGTTTAATTATACAATTGGTTTTATTACACAGAAACAAAAATCCATTCCTGATTTATATTGAACACACTTTTTCAATCCATGATTAATACTAGTTAATTTACTAATGATGTTCCATTCATCAATTTTTCTCAGTTTTTGTTTGCATGTTTGTTTGTAAACAAACTTTTTTTCTTTAAAGCAACTGATCATAATGCAAAATAATACAATTTTATTTAGACCATGCACAATTTTCTTTCACTTACTGTTTCCTAAAGATCACTGTTACCATCATTTTTTATCTAAACATTTCAAATGATGACTGAATAACACTGTAAATATATGCAGTGAAACTGCAACACCAACCACTCAAAGCAGCTTCCCTTGTTATCCCCATTAGTTTAGCCAAGTCTTCTGCTCTGATAGAGGTGTATGCATTGGATACTAAATCAAATGTCCTTTTCTGAAGTTTTTCTGAAAGAAACATACAAGATGTCATGAACTAGACACCATCACCATACAAGGAGGGTAATCTGATTGCCTTAACCCCATACATGGAAATCCCAAAAGTTATTCACATGTAACTTCTCTCCTATAATCCACACTTTATCCAGAAAACAGGTAATAAGAATACCAAAACTTATAACGTAGAAGTTTTAAACTTGATCTAACACCAAATTCTTGTAACTAATCTACAAAGAAATATGTGGCAGCAAGAGGGGACAATTAACAGTCCAATCTTGGGAGAAGAAGGGTTAGCACTTGTTGCAAGTAATCCGTTAATTACACTATTGGTATAGGTATATGAGTGAACTTCAAGGTAAAAAGGTGTAACAACAATCAGCAGTCTAAACCATGTTAAGCTCTTCTCGTTTTTTCAGTCAAAAACTCACTTTTACACAAGTCATATGAAAGTCAGTCTCTCCTTGCAAGTAAACGAGCTAAACCAGTAAATTAGCAAAGTTTCACTAGATCCCATAGTAAGCTCATGAAAACATTGCGTTTCTAGCCCTTGTACATAATCACATTCAATGGAAGCCAAATTAATGGCTGGTAGTAGTCTTTACTTTGAGAAATCAAAAAATTTTCTGCTTCATATTTTCCAGAATTTCAAGCAATTTATTTCAATGGAACTCGAAAACTGACCACACCAGACATGATTTATTACTGCAGGCAAGTTTTGTTTAGTTTTGATGAAAAATCAGTGTTAGATGGAGTACCCTTGCGAAATGGCTTTTGGAATTCCTAGGAATTTTTTCCTAGGAATTCCCAACCATAACAACTCTGGTTCTAAAAACCTAGAAATTCCTAAAAATTCCCAGAAATTCCAAGTTTATAGCCAACAGGACTTGGAATTCCTAGGAATTCCAACTCAGAGAACCAATGACTTTCCCTGAAAAGCTGTAAATCGAAAAAATTCCTAGGAATTTCTGGAATTTTTGGGAATTTTTAGGAATATTTAAGAATAACTGGGAATTTTAAGCAAAAATTTGAGGCTAATGATATAAAATAAATACTTTAAATTAAAAAACCCAGCTAAAATTCAAGTATTCAATGAAATTTATTTACAAGCTTAATTAAGGCTTACATGTAAAATATTTTTGATTCATTATTAACATCAATGTGTGGTAATATTAGGATGGAATTTGATTTTTCTTTTCTTGAAAACTTCATAAGGATTAATCCTCAATTACAGCTATTCATATAAAATAGTCCTAATCAATCATTAAATTTGGTTTGACACAAATTGTGAATAAAATCTGTTGATTCTTTTCCATAAAATACAATATCTTAAATTATATTTGAAAACCAAGCACTCTTAGGAGTGAAGGGGTTAATTACAGACAAATAAAATTGATTTTTTGATTAAAATCTTGTTGTAACTGTAACAATAAATTAGAATGAAGTTATCCTAAACTGCAAACTTAGCTGCTGTTTGTATTTTTTTCCTGGGCTCACAATGAGTTGGCCTTGAATGAGGTTGTCTACAAGAAGCTTGACCATTTTGTATCTGGGTTCCATGTCATCTGAATTTGAAAAAAAAATATATATATATATATTTAAATATATATATTTAAAGCTCAGACCAGGCCTTTAAGATGGCTATGAGGAAAAGGGCATTCATTGGATTCTCAAATTGAGAAATCTCTGTTATATTGAGTGACTTTTATATTGGAGTTAGTACATCTCTCTCATAGATTTTACTAAAAAAGGGCTGAATACATTATTTTGTTTTTACCAAGGAGGGCTTCTTTATGTAATTAGGTTTGTTTAATAACAGTTCCTATTATGAATCTTGAATGTTCCCAAACGTGACTAAAGGAATCTTGAAACCTTACTGATAGGTTTATTTCATTGTAAAGCATAAGCTTAAGAAACTGCGGCATGCAAGTGACCGATTCGATTCTCAGAATTATTCTAGTTCCAGTTGCGCCGAGCGTTATGTAAGCTTAATTCAACCCGCTACATCTATTCTTTTATAAGATTTTGATCACGTAACGAATATCGCAATTTTTACTTACCACAAACTTTCAAAATCGTAGCTTTACAGATGGCCACTCGACCCTTGTTTGTACCAGTCAATATGTCAACTGTTGTCCCTTCTTTTAACTCCACGGCGCCAACGACTTTCATTTCTTTTACAACACTCACGCTGTTCTCGTTTTCCCATTGAACCACAATAAAAGTTATCCTTAGAAATGTTATATTAAGCAAAACAGTTGAGAAAAGAGATCAACCGATGAAAAGGACATTCAAAGATGAGCGCCAAATGGAGTCTTCTTTGTTTCCGATCACGGGTATGATCACGTGGATCTTTTAGGACTTGTCATTGGCTAGCAAAGTGAATCCGCTGGCTTGCCGGTTGTAGTGTTAAGAGAAGCGCGCAACTTTAGTTTGATTTCTCCGACCGGTTCTCTGCTTCTAGACGATGGATACCTTGGTGATATAAATAATGATGTGAGCTCACTCTATCGTATTACAAATGCACGATTTGTGGCCGAAAGTTGTCGAGGAAACAAAGACTCGAAACTCACTTGAGTTGTGTTCATGGCAAAGGTGAGAAATAATACAAGCCAATCACAGTTTTGAATGCGACTACAAATCGTCTTTTACCCTCATATTTATAAAAGAAGGATACCACATTAGGAAGATACATAGATGATCCCAGTGTACCAGTACCTAAAGCTACAAAGCTTGACCGTAGCAAGTGTTCAGCAACATGTTCCAACACCGCCATCTCGATTCCTCAGTCAGTCGTTTACACTGAACTTAAAGCAGTAGTGACAACAGAGTAGAGTGCGTCTTACAAAGGAGAAACATTTGTACAAGAGACAGAAGTAACTATATGCGATTACAGAGGTGCGTTGGAACTCTGGTCCACAAATAGTTATGCACTGTCCGAAGTATAAAACAATTTTGTTGATAGCTGACAGACAGAGAAGAACAACAAGTAAACTTTAGAGCTGTTATTATTGAAGTGTGACTTGCAATTTCCATTTTTATATAAAGAAGGACTTGTATTTTGCACCAAAAATAAAAAGATGTAATATTTTTTGGGAGATCCAGTGATTGGGACATTTAAGAAATTAAGTTATGAAAGGAAACTTGGTTGGTACTTCTCACTACTAACAAGTCTTGTTGACAAATATTTTCAGATCAGAGTTTCAAATAAAGTAAATTGAAGAAGTCATTTAAAAGGTGTTTTTTCTCAAAGGGCACATTGACTACCTCTGTCTTGTCTGCATGCCAAATGTTTGCAAAGCATGTGGTATTGGAACTCTTACAAAAATGTTTTGTAAGAATAAAAACAGCAAAACAAATTACAGCAATTAGTCACAAAAACAGAGCAAAAAACTGAAAAAAAAACAGCAACAACAATCGTGAAAAAAGAAAGATTAATCAGGTGTTGAATTTGTTTGTCTAAGGCATGAAATTTCTACTAAAAATATTGTCAACAAAAAGTCTCTGACAGTGTTTGAGGCAACTGAGCTTGACTGTTCCAAGGTTTTCTAACAAAGGCAACCAGTAATGTAGGTTAGGGAAGTAACTTATGTTCATAACTAACAAAGTTCTTTAAGTGTAGATAACAATGTAATTATTGTTAATTATTGTAGAAGTTGTGTACCAAGGAACAGCCAATGAATGTTTGATGATTTTGGCACATCAGTGAACCTGAGACATTAATTTGCATCACAATAAAAATATTTTTTGATCATGGAATCCAAGAGTCCTTTGAGGTTAGAAAGCAAATCTGTGATATGAGTACATTGGATTAATTGGCAATTTCCATTTAACAGCTGGTTCATGAGAAAATCCATATTAATGTAAAGATTTACTGAAACTTAGTTTGAATAATAAATTTCATGATCTTTAAGTTATAAACATATACATGTATGTATATCTCTTGGTAAGTTTTGTATAGCATACCTTTTATTGAGCCAAAGTTTTAAGCCTCTGAAATTACTCCTTTTCTTAAAACCTTCACATTCAAGGTATTGAGAATTTCTTAGAATTTATGTGGACCTCAGGGTATTAAAATTGCCTCAAATTCAATTCCCAGAAATTCCCAAGAGTTCCACACTTCTTAAATTATAGGTAGTTTGTAAAGCTGAGAATTCCTAGGAATTCCAAGGGATTCCAAGTCCTCACAAAACTGGAGTCTTCCTTTCCCAGAAATTCCCAGTAATTCCAAGCTTTTTAAATCAGAGTTAATTTGCATAGTTGGGAATTTTTGAGAATTCCTAGGAATTCCCAGGAATTCCCAGAAAACTGGGAATTCAGTTCGCAAGGGAAAGGTTCAATTATAGATAAAGATTCAAACTATTCTTGGTTTTCAATGTTAGTGAGTTTAATTAAGGGGGTGTACATTCAGTGATACAAGCCACATAAAAGAACTTCTGCAAAATTCCACTTACAGTATATTTTATATTTAAAATTTGAAAATTCTCTCAGATCTTTGTAGTTGCAAAAGGCATTTGCAACCAGTGTTTGTTGTTTTGGTTGTTCTTATGGTGTAACAGATACCAAAAAAAAGATGTAAGGCTAGAGGTTGTCATTTTTATATTGTTGGAGGAAAGACAGCCTCTCCAATCTCCTGTATTTGCAACTCCTTTTGTCTACCTCAGTGTCACTGATTAAGTTAGTACTTTTGCAGACAATCTGATATGGCCACTCTCCCAAGAGTGTTATTTCTTTAGGTTAATGACATTCTTTGTGGTTTTTATTCTCATTGAAGGTGTAAGAATATTGCATTTCCATTCCCAAAACAGGTTTCTGTATAGTAATGTTTTTTACCATTTTTTACTTTAAGGTTAGGGAAGTAACTCCACTTACAGTTCTTAAGGAAACATCACCTTTTGCTCCAGGTGATGTGCTTCTAAATTAGAAACATAGTACATCCACAGAGAGACAGTCTTGTATTACAATTGCAATAAAGCTAGCCTACTTGGCAAAAGTAATGTTAAATTAGCAGACTTGTCCATCTAGTTAAGTTCTCCACTGCAGGTAAAAGTTCAGTTAAGTTACAATAGGTACTTTAGTTATTTCTTAGTAATTAATATAAGTTGCTCTATTGCTCTGCTTACTGGCACATTTATATGAATGAATTTGCATTCTTGGAAGCTAACATTTAACATTCCAAAACTTACTGCATTTGTTAGCTCCTCCACCTCTTGAAATGACAATCTTCCAAATGCTAAAGTTTCTTAAATATTGCTCATATTAATTTCCCTAAAAGTCTATGGTTATTGTTAAATTGAATCACCTATTGTAAATAAAACATGTTAAAGTTCATCTTGTGAATCTCATTTTAACTTCATGAGCTCTTGGATGATCTTACAGTGCTCTATGGTGGCCGAGAACTGCCAATAGAAAAATCCGCATTTTTGAAAGAAAATTGTTTTCTTTTTTATTTTGATTTACATTTTTTTTTATTTTTCAATTTATTTTTTTATTTTTAAAATAGAGTGAAAGTAAAATCAATTGAAATAAAAATAAAATAAAATAAAACCAAAGTACAATAAAATAAAACCAAAGTAAAATAAAACCAAAGTAAAATAAAATAAAACCAAAGTAAAATAAAATGAAATTATTCGACCCAGCCGAGAGCTGCCACTACCAGCATGCATTGCGTGCGTTACTGTCACACGCTCGAGTTCATCATGGCCGATGCATGGAAGAGGCTCAATGAAAAAGTTAAAGCAAAGCGTACCAAAAAAAACCAGCCCAAGGACCATCGAAGGAAAGATGAACTGACAGTTCAACGTTTGTCAGCAGAAGTTTCTGGAAAGGCCCAAAAGTATACAAGGATTGGGCCAAGAGAGTTTGCTCCCTTCGACGAAACGGAGGAATTGACCATTGGTAATATCAA